CACTACAAGTTGAAAACACTCAGTATATCTGGGGTTAAATGTTTGTTTATGTCACTCACAGGAAGTCACATGTTTCTCATGTAACCAGTGTTCTTTAGCTGTAGGATGCCCGGGAATTTTCTCCCTGATCTAGGAATTTGACTGGGACTAAAGTGTCAAGGTATATTACCATTTTATGGCTTCTCTTCCCATCTTTGTTTTGTGTTCTGAAGAAGAAGAAGAAGAGCCACAATCTCTCCCTTCTAGTTTTGTCTTTGTAGTGTAAGGATGTAGCCAATTATGCTCTGTTGATATTTTCATCCCAGTTACCCTTCCCATGCTAGAATTTAGTAAAAACTTTATATTTTAATCACACATGGACTCTCAGTCTGAATTATTTTACTCTGGCTCTGCTGGACTATCTTATCTCTGCTAAATACCATTTTTTTCAATATCTCACTATCACCCAACAGTATTCCAATACCGCCGGCTTTCACCAGCCATGACAGACACATACCAAGGGGGCAAGCGATGGGCACAGCAGCCAGGGTCCTGTCGACCTCTTTCAGGGAGAGTCGACGGAAATGGTCCATTACTGGGCCTGGAAACGGCCAAGGGGCCTCAGTTCACATACGGTATCAGTTGTGGCCAGCAGGTCTTGGTGGAGCGACAAAATTTTATCCGCAAAATAGCTCGCAAAGGCCTCACAGCTGATTACCATCTTTTTGGTTTCCCTGTGAGAGGGATGTTAAATGACCTGATTATTCTAACTAATTGAGCTGGTCGCACAGAATTCCTTCTTTGCAGCTTTCACTGCCACCTCACAATAGGCTTTCATGAACGTCCAATGAGATGTCCCTGCAGCTTTGCCATGAGCACCCTGCCACGCTCGCTCCAGCCGTCTCAGCGCCCATTTCATCCTCTGTAGCTCCGTGGTGTACCAAGGGGCTAGTTTGGAGCAGGAGCGAAGAGGGCATCAGGGAGTGATTCCGTCGGTGGCTTCAGAGTCAGCTGTGCCAGTCCTCTACCAGCTCATCTAACGAATTGCCAGAAGGCATCAGATCTCGCAGAGCATTCCGGAAACCAATGGGATCCATTAGTCTCCATGAGTGAGCACAAATAATCTTGCCACCTAGACAAGGAGGGATTGGGATACTCAGCCGAGCCTTCAGGACAAAGTGGTCTGACCCTGGCCCTGCTATCAAGGCACCCAATATACATTTATCCCACTCCAGAAATCAGATCTAGCGTGTGGCCTGCTTGGTACATGGGAGCTGATACAACCTGATAGAGTCCCAGTGTCGTCATGGAGGATACTAGGTCCATAGCTTGTGAAGAGGCGACTTCATCGGCATCTTGACTTCTCATAAGGTGACCAAAGTACAATAGTCTCAGTTTAGTGATTTCAGCTTCCAGGGGGAGTTCAGGCTTGGCCTAGTCCCCTTATAGAGCCATCCATGAGGCCAGTTTGGTGTTGTGGTTAAGTGTGTGGACTATAATCTGGTAGAACCAGGTTTGATTCCCCACTCCTCCACTTGCAGCTGCTGGATGACCTTGGGCAAGCAGACATTAAGGATATTAAAAAAAAGCAGACAGAACTCTTAATTGAGGTCTGGAGGAGGCAGCCATTAGCCATGTACTGGCCTTGACAGCTGAAGGAAGCTGCAAGGTAATGACAACTCTGTAGAGATCTATAACATTCTAAGCTAAGGAGCCTGTCCTACATTTAAACATCTGATAGGGCATGTATAGAGACAGGGACAAAGGAATTGCGTTTTACCCATTTCATTTGAATGCTGGGAGTGGTTCTCTGTACCACATAGACCTCCACCATCTCGGACACGTGATTTTAAAAAGGAGCGCCTGGGGGACGCAGTCAGTTGGCAAGCGGCTATTCCTCCAGGGGTGCACAAGGCAGTAAACGGTCCCTATGGTGACCAGTCGCTGGGCAGCGGGAGATACAGAGGCAAGGCCTCAGAATTTGAAAGGGAAGCTGGGAGTCTTGACCCTCCCAGTGGGAAATTCCTGCAGAGGGCAGGTGGTGATGGAGGGTTACCGGAGAGAGAGAGAAAAGCCTCTCCAGGGGTTGAGAAAACATTGGAGAGCGGGGTGGAACAGGGCCTGCAGGCCAAAGCAGGACTGTTCCGCCACACCTCCTAGCCCTGGTATTCAGAGATTTACTGCTTCTGTACATGGAGGTTCCTTTTAGTCACCACGGCCTGTAGCCACTGATGGACCTCTCCTCCATGAATCCATCCAACCTCCTTTTAAAGCCATCTGTACTCATGGCCAACGCTACCTCCACCAGCAGTGAACGCCACAGTATAATCGGCAGGGCCTCCCCACTGTGAACAGAGGTGTGGTCTTAGTGGCTTTGGGGTCCTGGGTAAAAGTCCAGGGCAGGGCCCCAGAATCAGTGCCAACCCCCTGCCAGGGTCAAGCAAAGGAAAAACCCTTGCCCCGGTCCCTTGCTGTGAGTGGGCACCCCAAGCTCCAGATGGAGTGAGTGAAAAGTGAGTGACGGCAGCAGAAGCCTGCTGTTTTCCTTCTTTTTTCTGCCTCTGTCGAGGGCCCTGGGTGGTCGGGCCCTCCCAAGCATATGGCGCAGGGCAGCTGCCCCTGATGACCACTGGCTAAGACCACCCCTTGCTGTGAAATTTGGGTTTGCCCTCTTTCTGTAGACCAAAGCGCTGCCAAACGCACAGAAACGGATCTGAGACCTCCTCCTCCTGGAAAGTGGACCGTGTCTGGTGAATCGAAACTCCGTCACTTGTGTAAATGGAAAGGGGAGGGAGGGAGAACGTCACTTTTGAGCCAGAGGTAGTTGTGTCAATGCAGCAGCTGAGCCCCTCGGGTCACAGCTCAGACACTAATCTGCTCAGGAGCCCCAGGTGCCAGGCTCCTCGGATTGTGGGGACCCGGATCCTGGCTCATTAACTGCCTCCAAGCTGCCAATAATCCAGATAACAGAGGCTCAGGAAGAGGGATCAGCACTTTCCTCGTAATGCGGCCCTCTCTCACGCCACCTCTGCCCACCCCCTTGTTCCCCCAATTCTGAGAAATCCTCCACCGCTGCAGGATAAAGGTTCTGGCTAATGTCCAGAGCGACTTGGGTGCAAACACGGGGAAGACACCGAGGCTTTACCTGGAGCCGCCCATTTTTTGGAACATGCTCCCGCGTGAGATCAGGGCCCTGTTGGACCTTCTACCGTTCTGCAGGGCCTGTAAAGCGGAGCTGTTCCGCCAGGCCTTTGGTTGAGGCCGCGGGCGTCCAGTAAAAAAAAAGTCAGCCTCCCCCGCTGAAGACATCATTTTCACACGGCCCGGATTGAACAAACTCAAGAGTCCAGTGGCACCAGTACTGGAGGAGACTGTGCAATAATCGGTGCAAATTTTTTCAAAATCTTCGCTGTAATGTTTTAATTATTTATTATTGTGTTTCTGTGATGCCAAATGGCCTAATGGTTTGTTGTGATCCGCGCTGAGCCCATGCACGGAGAGGGCGGGATATAAAGTTGAAAAATAAAACAAATATTTCTTGGAAGAGAGCGCTTTTCTTTGCATACATGCAATTTGCACAAGGGGGGGGGGGGGGAAAAAAAATTTTTTAAAAGTAAACTCATGAAGGACATAGCCAAGGCTGTGGTACACTACAGTTGCAGACACGAAATAGCATTGGACATAGAACGTGCCTTCCTGAGAATCTAAGATTTAATATGTTGTCGAAAGCTTTCACGGCCGGAGTCCATTAGTTGTTGTAGATTTTCCGGGCTGTATGGCCGTGGTCTTGGCCTTGTAGGACCTGACGTTTCACCAGGAGCTATGACTGGCATCCTCAGTGGTATAACACAGAAAGATGGAGTCCTCTCTGTACTTGACACAGAGAGGACTCCGTCTTTCTGTGCTATACCTCTGAGGATGCCAGTCACAGCTGCTGGCGAAACGTCAGGTCCTACAAGGCCAAGACCACAGCCATACAGCCCGGAAAATCTACAACAACTAATCTAAGATTCAGCTTAAAAACACAAAACAGGATTCTAGTCCTTATGATCGTGAAGATATCCTTAAAAGCATGTCAGTGGAGAACCAGCGTGGTCCAGTGTGGTTAAAGTGCTGGACTAGGATCTGGGAGACCCAGGTTCGAATCCCCACTATGCCACAGACACTTGCTGGGTGACCTTGGGCCAATTACACACTCTCAGCCTAACCTACCTCACAGGGTTGTTGTGAGGATAAAACAGAGGAGAGGAGAATGAGGTAAGCAACGCTGGGTCTCCATTGGGAAGAAAGGCAGGGTGTAAATAAAGTACATAAATAAATGCACAGATAATGCCACTCGTAATTGTGGAAGCTTCTAAAGGGGATAAGACCAGGGGAAGGGAAGGGGTTGCAAAAGTTTCTGTCTCCTCCTCACTATTAAAAGGAACATAAATTATGCAAAATAAGGGTTGTACCATTTATATATATATATATGTCATTTCGGGGGGGTCACGGGGGATCGCAGTTCCCCCGGGTGAGGTACGAGGGGCGGGGCACATGACGAAGCCTCGCCCCCCGCTTCCGTCCCTCATTCAGCCAGGAGGAGGCAGGAGAAGAGGGAGGGTAAGATGCTTCATCCCTGCCTCTCCCCACCCCTGCCTGCCTGGGGCCAGGAAGGGCCTTCGCGGGGCTTCCTTGCACTCCCGCCGGCCTTGCAGGTCCACCGCCGGGCCCCGCAAGGGGCTCGGCAGTGGAGCTGCAAGGCCGGCGGCGGCCGGGACTGTTGGGGGTGGGGTGTGTGGCCTTATGACACACTTCCGGTGATGTCAGGGGGTGTGGCATATGCTAATGAGGTATGCTAATGAGTTCCCCTAGCTCTTTTTCTACGAAACGACCCGTGTGTGTGTGTGTGTGTGTGTTTATAAGCACAGGTCTCAAGGGAAAAGTCGCCGGTACAGCTGATCAGCAGTCATGGGTGCAAAACCAATGTATGCTCAGAACGGGACGTCACACTAGCTGTAAGAAGTTTTTTCAAGCCTTTATTGAGAAGTGGGTGACCAATAGGCACGGTTAGCAGCAGGTCGGGCCCGGCACAAGGAAGAGGTTACCCGGTTCAGTTTCAGAGCAGCAGTAGGGAAGCCCACTTATCTATAACCCTGGAGTTAAGATTCCAGCTGTGCCAATGAACAGCTAGCAATTCCCCCCAAGAAAAATGCAAGAAAGTCCTGAACGGTCCCTGAGTCACTGGCTTCCTCCTACCATTTGACATCGGTGGTCACGTCACCGGCACTGGCCCATCACTCCTACGTAGAGTTTTATGGCCCCTTTAGCCGAAGGGCACAGCTCTTTCCACAGGTCCCCGCTCTGCTCCATCATCAGGACGTTCTGCACAAAGACAGGAAGGAACTCACATGCAGGAGGGAGACTTTCAAGGAATGCCCCAGGGCCTAGTCAGTAGGGACTTCAGTTGTCAGGGGCCACAGAAAGAAAGCCACCTGAAGTGTGATTGTGAGGGTGTTCATGGCCACCTCTCTTTCTTCACACTTCAGAGATATCCAGCAGAATGATGCCATCCTTTTAAAGGGCTATTATAATTTGGCTACTCTTTCTTTTACTTGCATCTGGATTGCATGAAGCAATTGCTCAGCCTTACAGAAACTCCAATCCAATGTACTTCAGTGCACTAATGCGGTTCAGTAAGCTCGAACACACTCTGAATGAAACCAAGAGGGTGTGTTAAACTGGAGCGGAGGCCGACAGAGTTCCTGTAGGCTCACTAAACAATGAGGGGTGGAGGCTTGAGGGCCAGCCCTAAGTGAGGGTTTCACTAGGGGAGAGACTGTGGCTCAGTACTAGAGCATCTCTGCTTGCTGAAGATGCCAGGTTCAATCCCCAGCATCTCCAGTAAAAAAAAAATCAGGCGTTGTGAAAGACCTCTACATAAGTCCCTGGAGAATAAAAATCAGATAGGTTGTGTGAAAGACCTCTACATAAGTCCCTGGAGAGATGTTGCCAGTCTAAGTAGACAATACTGACCTTAATGGACCAAGGGTCTGATTCAGCATTATAAGGCAGCTTAATATCATCACTGCAGCAATAGTTCACAGGCGGATCATGATCAAATTTATCCACAAGTATCCCATTTAATATAGCAGGATGTCTTTGGAAAAATGCATGCTTACAACTGCTGCCTTAGAAATAAACCCTTGCAACACTTGGAAGTTAGTTCAAGTTAATTCCATTTACCACTGGTCCAGAATTTGAAAGCTAAAAATCCCATCCATGAACCAATTCCACACTGCATGGTTAAAAGATATCCCACATTGACTCTCTGGGTGCTAAGAACTTATGCTACTGTTGTTAAATGGCAGGGAAAGGTCTTGAATTACGGACTACAGCAACCAAATCTAGCAGCAGTTCTTATGCCTGCTTAAAGTGGGAAGTCCCACCGAATTCAGAGACTTACTTCTAAGCAAATATGCTTAGACCAGGCTGTTACTCACTGCAATCTCCTGACAACTTGCTAGGAGAGCCACTAGCGTACACTCTCTAGTGCACCCTGGCGCCACCAGTAGTGCCAGCCAGAAGGTGCTACTTCAGCTTCTGTTACTGCAGTTGTCAGGTGACACAAGCAGGCCAACAGTGTTTCACTCGAGCCCATAAGGCCTCTCATTCGGCCATGCTTGGCTCTTATTCTTGAGGGAAGGGCTAAGTACACCCAGATTGTCTCTGGACTATCACTTACTTCTCTGGTGACAAATATGGTGCTAGTTGACTCTTGGGCTTCAGGGCCCCCAATGGCATAGTTATGTTGCACTTCCTCAGAAGTGAGGCTGCACCTGAAAAGAAAAGAAGAAATAAAGACCCTATGAGGGGAAGTGAACAAAATCTGAGGGCTAAACCCGAATCTATAGTGGTTTGGTCCTGGAGGAAAGTTGGGACATGAAAACACTGGTTGAGGAGGCCTTGCATAGCAGCCAAAAAGGCTGACGGGGCCAAAGTACGTAGAGTTACCAAATTTGGGAATGGAGCCTCAAGATGGCAGAGAGAGATCACAACCCTACAGTTGCAGTTGATTATACTAGCAAGAGATTTCAACCTACCACAAGACTCGACTGGGAGCCAATCAGGGCTTGGAAGAACCTAGAGCCCTCGTAGAAAATAAGAGGGTTTATAGGGCCTTCTAGTCTGGCCTAGCTCTGACCTGGATAGCCCACGCTAGTCCAATCATGTCAGCTCTCGGAAGTGAAGCAAGGCAGACATTTGCCACTGGTCCAAAATTTGAAAGCTAAATCCCATCTAGTTTGGTACAGTGGTTAAGTGTGCCAGTCTGGTGTAGTGGTTAAGTGTACAGACTCTAATCTGGGAGAACCAGGTCTGATTCCCCACGCCTCCATTTGCAACTGTTGGATGACCTTGGGCAAGCCATAGTTCTGTCAGAGCTGTTATCGAAAGAGCAGTTCTCTCAGAGCACTCTCAGCCAATGCTCCCTCTAAGCTGTGGAGTCTTGAGAGCAAAAATTCTACTTTTGTGAGCTGCTGGCATTAACGTTGTGAGCGAGCGATTTGGCTGCTGCATAAATTGGTTTGCTCTGGAGCCCTCCTTCCCGAGCTAAGACAAATATGTGTGAGTTGGAGGCTAAAAAATTGTGAGCTAGCTCACACTAACTCAGCTTAGAAGGAGCACTGCTCTCAGCCCCACCTACCTCACAGGGTGTCTGTTGTGGGGAAGGGAAAGGAGGGGAAAGGAGTTTGTAAGCCGCTCTGAGACCCCTTTGGGTAGTGAAGGGCGGGGTATAAATCCAATCTCTTCTTCTATGGACCAATTCCACAATGCATGGCTAAAAGGTATCCCACATTGCTAGCGTGGGCTATCCAGGTCAGGGCTAGAAGGCCCTATAAACCCTCTTGTTTTCTATGAGGGCTCTAGATTCTTCCAAGCCCTGATTGGCTCCCAGTCAAATCCTCCAAGGAATACCAGGGTCATGATGCGGAGGCAGGCAATGACAAACCACCTCTGAACCTCTCTTGCCTTGAAAACCCTACAGGGCCACCATAGGTCAACTGTGACTTGACAACAACAACAAGAAGTCAGGCCACTGACACAAACAAGCTCAGTTCCAGTCATGTGAGGAACCAGAGCCTGTCAGATGGCTTGAGGTCTGGAGTTTGACAAATGGATAATATTATTTAGGAAGTTTTTCCTCTCAGCCCTCAAAGTGTTTTCATTAACATAGTAATCCTTTAAAAGAACTCCCTGTACGGTTGGCCAGGATTATTATTAAGTTTCTCGCCAGAGTAAAGGAATTTGAGATGATGCACCACATCTTATAACAGGCA